TATGTGGATTCCGAGGGGGTTGTCACATATATTAAGAAATATAATTTGTATAAGCTAATAATATAATTCGTATCAACTTCAAGTATATTAACGAATATGATTTTATCAACATATACTCAATGTGGTATTTAGTAACAAAGTATATTTGTATTCATCAATTGCCTTGTTATTTGTATTTATGTGTTACCACGTGTATCTTTATTTGTTTTTGTATCTATTACTTTGTGTGTTTGTATTTATATTTGTATATGTTACTATCTATTGCCCTAAAAAATAAGCATTTGTATTTGTATCATTGCCACATCTGTATTTTTATACTCTCAATAAAAGCATATATAATATACTTGTATTCTGTCAATTACAGAGAGAGAGAAAGAGGCGAGTGATAGAGGGCAGTGAGAGAAGAGAGAGGCGAGTGATAGAGGATGGTGAGAGAAGTGAGAGGTGACCAAGAGAAGATAGAAAAAGTAGAGAAAGACAAGCGAAAAAGGAGAGATTAATTTGCCATAAAATTCTAACAAAAACTATCGATAATTCTTTGAAAGGATAGTTATGTATTGTGAATACATATAATATATTTGCAAACGACATATTACTTGTCTTACCAAGATAGAAGCATTCGGTAAAAAATTACGTCGTATATATAAGGTAATTTTTAATAGATTTTGAATCACTTGAATACAAGATTAGAGGTAAACACTTAATAATTTAAGAATTCAAAATTCACCTTAAGGTTCCAATTTCAAATTCCATAAATTATATTTTAATTTTTTAAACTTTCTTAATAAAAATTCCGAATATGCCACTCATCAGAAATATTTATTGTCTAGTATTTTTATTTATTTATTTATTTTAAAAAAAAACAAAGATAACTTCCCTCATACAGTCAATTTGTATTTTTCCATTGGTGAAATTGATCCAAAGAAAAAAAAAATTACCCACGAGGTTGAATGATAAATGTTCATAGTGATTTTTAATTGACTATTCATGCAACAACGTTAAATAAACTTGAGAGAAAACAGAAAGGTCAATTATGTACACTTTCTACTTTTGAATATTTAATCAAAATTTAGTGCACTTTTACTTAAAATATAACTTTTTTTAATTGGATTGGGCCAAAACATTAATGATTCCCGGTCTAAGGGTAAAAAAAAATTGACAAAAATTTTAAAAGGATATACAAAAAAATGTTCTAACCAAAAAGGTAAAATCACTACGTCTTATTTTAACGCTGTTAACGGATTAAAATCGCTGCTCTAAGAGCGATTTTGTCCAATTTCTTTTATAAAATCATTGCCCCTGTAGTGTTTATTCAATTTTTTTGTAAAAAAAAATAAATTAAAATCGCTGTTATGGCAGCATTATTTATAAAAACGATTTTTTTATAGGATAGAGCTGCATTAACAACGATTTTTTTTAATTATTTTTTTAAATCACTGCCTTGGCAGCGATTTTACTAATTTTTTTTTAAAAAAAGATGAAATCGCAGAGAAAGACGATCAAACAATTTCCAATCATGGTCCTTGCGGATCGGATCATCAATATAATATACAAAAAGAAACTCCAGATATTTGAGATCTTTCTCTTTGAATAAGATCTCAATTCCAGCGATGGTTTCATTCGATATCTTACAACTAGAATCTCTCTTTTTTTCGATCCAGTTCCTCGGCTTTGGCAGCGATTTTACTGATTTTTTTAAAAAAATTGAAATCACTACCCTGGCAACAATTTTTGGTAAAAAATATTTTTAAATTTTCTTTTTTTGAAAATTTCTATCAACTAGTCACATCTAGTTCTAAGTAATTTTTTTTTATTACAAATCGCTGAATTTTGATGAAAAGTCTAGTTCTAGAAGTAATTTGATGTAGTGTCACTTGTGAGAAATTTAAACAAAAATATTTTTTAAAAAGACAAAAATTAAAAATCCACTAGAATACTGTCTTGACAGTGATTTCTTAAAAAATTAAAATTTATAATTACGCCTGATTTCCAATTAAAAGAAAAAATAAATAACAAAAATCGCTCCCAAAGCAGTGATTTCAAAAAATAATAAAAATTCCTCTTTAAAAGAATTGCAAAAACGCTTCAGAGCCAGCGATTTTCAAATTTTTTTTGAAGTTAACGGCGTTAAATTAAATCTCTACGTCAGAAGCGATTTTACCCTTTTAATAAGAAAATATATATGTGAGCTCATTTTGTAATGACAGGGGTATATGTGAGCCGTTGTATAACAGTAAGAACATATATGAGTCACTTTCATAACGAGGGATAAATCAGTTTCAAATGGAAAAGTTGAGGGATATATCAAACTCTTTTCTCTAATAACTTTATTAGTTTATGGTTCTTTTTTACAGACAAAAGAACTAATTATGTTTTTGAAAAAATCTAAATGTAGAAATTATGAAGATTGTCCATTTTACCAGAAATGTTGAATATGCTAAGTATAATAATGGACATCCAATTGATTTAATTTATATTTAAAACTTAAAACATAGGATGTCTTTAAAAGCTTTAATTTATGTGATTAAGGTAGAAGATGTTAAATTCTTAATATTATTCTCTTCATTTTATCTCCATGTCATATTCGAGCATATTTGATAAAAGAGTTTATCTATAACGTGTTTTTTGATTTGACATTAGTTGATATATATGATATTTATTATTTAATATTGGATGTCCATAAATAGATTTGATAAATTTATATAAAGTTGAACAAATATCACACGTTCATTGTCCAACATGACATATACAAATCTATCTTTAATGTTCATCTTCAAATTTTGCCAAAATTGATTGCATTGCAGCCCTATAACCAGACACGAAAAGCACTTAGGTCTGATGGATTTCTGAAGTTATGTGTCTGCACAATGTTACAGTCCATAAAAAAATTGAGATATGATCAGATCAGCAAAAGAGCTAGGAGTACGATTTTTCATCAAAATGTTTCTTTGATAAATATAAATAGTTATGTTTACTAATTCTTAATATTTTTTTAGATAAAAAAATTATTCCGAGAGTATCTTCATTTATATGTAATCTAGAAAAAAAATTATTACAATGAATTTGAAATATTCATATAGAAATTGATTTTCTTTCTTTTTTTTCACTCATTAGGAAAATCATTTTTTTCATTTTTAAGAAATTTATTTTTCTAGAAAATATATTTTTCAAAACAATTTCACCGACCAAATATGAAATGTCGAAATTCAATCTAGGTTGATTTTAAAAGAATACTATTTTTCCCTGGGACGACTCAGTTGAAGGGTGGTCATCTATGGATTGATACTCTCTCAATATTTTTGAGTTGAATTTGTTGTATAAGGCTTGCGTAGTGCAGTTTTTATTTTCTGTGTAGTTTGCAGACTATTACTCAATACACACAAAATGCTAACCCCAAAAGCAGAAATTGTAGTGCGGCTACACATTATCCTGAATTTCCTCGAAAAACTATAACTATATAATATTTATAACTTATTTTAAATTAAGAATTTCAAAAGAAGTTCATTTTAAAACTTTCATAAACATAATTTTATTTTTTTGATCAACATATACATAAAATTAGAACCGAGGAACAAGTAGTAAGCTTTGTCCCCTAGTAGGTAACCCTCTTTTTCTTTTTCTTGATGGGAAGGTCTAATTTCAGAAGGCCAGTAGGGTTAGAACTTAAATCTTCTTTTTCGTTTTTCATCAAAATAGTATGAATTGTGATCTCATTTGGTTCTAAGTTTCAATTGTGATATTGGAAAAATAGAACATTGTTGATTAAGTCGAATACCTCTAGTAATTCTCTTAGATTCTGCCATTGGAGAGTGATCAAGAGTTTATCAAATCTAAAAAGTGATTTCAACTATAAACAACAATTTTGAACGATTTATACAAAAATAAAATCATAAAACAAATATCGAAAAACAGATAAAGACTCATATTTTAATAAAAGGGATTGTGTGAATATCTTATTAGAGAGAGAAAATATTTCATTTTTTTAAATACATATGAGAGAGGATTAATTGAAAATTTGTGATTAAAATGAGATAAAATAGGAAGTAAATTAGAATACACAATCCTTTCGAAAATAATGACATTTTTTTATATTTTTACTAATATTTACACTAATTAAGTTAAGTTATTTGACTAGTTTGCTAATTTTTGCTAACTTTAAATGGCATAATTTGCTGTTAATAACGGAGTTTCTGAAGTGACTGTTTGCGTGGATAAAGGAATAGTATCCACATACAACAAATGACTTTCGATGGATTTCAACACTATGAAAAATAAAAGAAAAAGTGACACGAGCATTTTGTTGTAGGATCACAGAACCAGAATTAAATTTTTATTTTTGTGTTTATGACATTATCAATCATTTCTTGTAGGATCTCTACTATTTGCAATGGTGAAATAGTCCATATTAGCGATAACGAAACCCCTTGTCGATTGCTCAAACCTTATATAAGTTTCCCTGTATATACATATATATGTATGCTTTATTGATGTCAATCTCATCAAGTCAAAATCACTTCCTTTTAATCAAAACAATGTAGCAAAGTATGTAACAATGGCCACTTCCAGCACTTGCTCAATCCTCTTGATCGATGATAGCATTATTGGCCATATGAGGGAGGCATCAGTACAAGTCATGCTGCTCGTAGCCTACTAAATTAGTAACACTACAAATGAAGTTGAAGGGTATGTTTGAAGTTGGAGGAATTGGTAAAGCTATAGAACAGAACAAGATTAATAAATTTACGGTTCTATTCGTGATTTCGCTTCCATCCATGTTTCTTGAAGGCAGAATAATATAATGTGATCTCAGATATTAAATAACCTGCAAATGTCAATATATTGAATTGCCTTATTTGTCCCACGAAAACCAATTATGTTTTACAACTCTCGTGACATAAGAATAATTAGACGATAGACAATCCATATGCAGCTGGAAATATAAGAAGCAGTATCAATATGCATCTCCTCAAGTATAATAATCATGTATCCGTCCAAATTTAACATACCGCAAGAGTAACAACGGATAATAACAAAAAAGAAGTACAATTCTTTTTCAGAATTCAAACAGAGCAATGGCTATTAGTTCTGTTATGTATTGTGCTGTCATATTTGCTGCGAAAAAGTCTAATATAAAACGTTTTCACTGTTTGGCTATGTGCACAGATCAATAGCTGGGGAATACATGTGGTTTCTACTTAACTTAGTTTAGTTAGGGATAGACAATCATAGTAGATTTGTCTAGCTAACTCGTGAGTTTGTCACAGCGTATATGAGAAAATAGATAAGGTACCTGCGACCACGTCTGGGGATGCCTGTAAATCTTGTTGATCGTCTCATGTATACATACGATTTTGATTGGTACTTGAATCATTGTCTCCTGAAAACAAAAGAAGCAGAAGGGGAATTGAGAAAAACAAAAGAAGATTTGGGTAAAAACACACCTGAGTTTGTAACTAACAGATGAATTCGTGATCCAAAATATTCTCTCTTTTCAAAGAAAATCAGTGAGCGGAAATTTGCAAACAATGTGAGCAAGTAGTTTGTCAAATTAACACCTATTTTGGCTGTAAGAAATCGCGATTTTATGTTTAATTCCTAATTCTACAGCCTTCATTTTTTTCTTTCTGTGGATATTTCTTTGGCTCTTTTGAATCCATCAGTTATGAACCCTTTTTTACCTGTAGATATTCACAACAGAAATTCAAAAAGTCGTCGCCGCAAACTGGTGATTACATATCTGCAGACACACAGCAGGAAAATACACTTTAAATAAGTTGTTGTACACGGAAATGCTTTCACAAAGAAGCTTTGTTCTGAAATAAACAGTTATTTGTTGCCGTTGTAATGCGAGACTTTGAGTATAACACCAACTCGACTTGTAAAGGGTCTCTAAAACTAATCAGTAAGCAATAATTACTATTATGAGTTTGCGATAATCTGTTTAATTTACACGGAGAAAAAGTGTGAGCATGACAGTTTAATTAAGTTGAGATCGATACAACAAATCTTGAATCCTTTCACATACCCACTTATAACCAACCAACAGTAACGTTTGGTATTTGAGTGAATTTTAAATTTTAACAACATGAAAATAGCAATAAAGGGATTTCCGAGAAAGTGGAGTGCGCGGCTTGCTGAGTGCTTTGTTGACAAAGCAAAGACAAATTTGTACATCTTTCACCGATACCTGCTCACTCAGACAGACAAAAAAGATATCTGCAATTTTTAAAATGACAAACAAGAAGATTTTGAATATGATAGCAATTCTTTGCATTTTCTCAACTCTATGGAGCTAGCCAGAAAAGAGGTACCCTTTTACTTATATTTTTGGGTTGGATTACCAAATTTCTCTTTTACTGAAGAAATGCATTCATGATTGGTCATTTTTTAGGAGAGTATTTGTGTGTTGATAAAACCGTCTGGGGAAAATTTATGAGGATTCGAGTTAAAATTGGATATTAAAAATCCATTGGTTACTGGATTTCGGGTAATGCCAAATATTTGGATTCCTTTCAAATATGAAAATTTGGGATTGTTTTGTTATAAATGTGGTCGTATTGGAAATCATGAAAACACGTGTTGAAAGTTGGAGTTTTCATAGAGTAATGGAGGAGGAGGAGAAGATTGTGGTCGAGAAAGAAAATTTCAGATTGATTCCTTCACCAAATCTATTGGCATTGCCAGAAGTGGAAGATGATTCTGAAAATACTACACAACCAATGTATGGTTTAGCTTGTTCGGTTTTTTTCTTTTTTCTAAATTATGGTACTTATTAGTTTTTGTGTGTATGTGTTAAACAGGAATGAGTGGGCGAGGTTGATGATTAACGGGGTTGATTCAATTATTATGATGGTGAATTGGGCAGTAATAACAAACCGAGTACGAGAGGCTAATGAAGTTAAAGGTTATGGCTGGTTGATTGTCATGATGGCTGCTTATTTCTTATACTTGATGCTCAAATTCAAAGTCATGGTCCCGCGTAGCCGGTTCTTCCAGAGATTTATCAGTAATGAAGGGAGCTTCATGGTTGAGTATAGTCAAGTGGCTCAGCTGAAGAATTTGCTTATGTTTTGTGTTGTCTTTCATGTGTCTTGTTGATTTTTGTTCTGCTTTTACCCTTTAGTTGATGTTTTGCACAAAAAGTTGACACTTCCCCCCCCCCCCCCCACCCTTTTTTTTTTGTTTTGGCACTAGTGTTGGTATGGTCTTCGGAGAATCGGTAAGACACAGCAGACGACCTTCCTCAGTCATTGGCAAAGCACCCTTTCTTGTTCCTGACGAATGATTGATAGGAACGGATTGCCCGGGCTTCCCTGCATCCGATCAACTCATACCTCCCAGCCCTGTAACTTCAACTTAGACTTAGGGCTGGCCTTAGATGGTTATGTCCTGTTTGAAAAACTATGGAAGACAAAAGACTCGTTTTTGGTTACGGACTAGGTGTGTATTGTTGCTTTCATAACTTCTCTTTTAACAGTTTCATCCTTTATTGCTCTGACTCTCCAAAAATAAAGTCTCACCCGTAAAAATGTATTACTTTTGGAGGACCTAACACACACCTTGTGGTGTTTTTGAAAAACTCAAAGAAGCATGAATAGTGAAACAAACTTTGAAATGAAAGAAAATTAAGAAGATATGGGACTTGAATGTCTACTATAAGGTGTTCTTGTAACATATACTAAAACGATAGAAATGCATATCTTTTACAGTACAATGGAAAGACAAAATGGAATCTTGATACAACTTTATTCTTATAGTAGAATTATATATAGATATAGGGCTCTTGTGTCCTGCATTAGGCACGAACATAGGGCAAAGGAATCAAGAACAAGTTGTTTTTCCTTTCAAGAGCATTGCCAAATTTCTCAGTCATGTCTAGTTCATGAGGGTTCATTCCATTTGGAAGTTTCCAGTCAAAATGGTATAGTAATAGTGCTATACTAAGTTCAACAGTAGCCATTGAAAATGATAACCCTGGACAGATTCTCCTTCCTGTGCCAAAAGGCGTAAACTCGAAATGTGCTCCAATAAAATCAAGGTGACTATCATTAAATCTCTCTGGATCAAATATTTCAGGATTTTGCCAATAGTTTGGATCCCTTGAAATTGCCCAAAAATTGACAAGAGCCATTGTGCCTTTAGGTATAACATAGCCATTAATCTCACACTCTTCCCTCGATTCTCTTGGAGCTAATAACGGAGCTAAAGGATGAAACCTTACTGTCTCCTTAACAATCATTTTTATGTATTTGAGTTTCTGAATATCGGCTTGATCGATTGTAGTTTCCTTTCCTTTAAATACTTGTCTTACTTCATCCTGTGCTTTCTTCATTATTTCGGGATTTTTCATTAGTTCTGAGAAAGCCCATTCCATTGTTGATGCTGAAGTTGTAGATCCTCCTGCAAACAAGTCCTGCATATCCAACAAAACTAATTAGTATCGCGCAAAATTATCTAGTGGAATAATTGAGGTGTATGTCATTCAACTTACAATGATTATAGCCTTGATATTATCTCTTGTGATAGGAATTGAAAAATCTTGGCTCTTTTGAAGCCTTAAGAGAACATCAACTATATCTTCTTCTGAGGTCTCGCTATTTTGGGATTCATGTTCATTGATAATTTCTTCTAAAACAACATCAACCTCATCATGCATTTTCCGCAGTTTGTATTTTAATCCACTAATGAAATGAATCATCTTCATCGATGGAAAAAGATCCGCGAGATCAAACACTCCAGCTGAAGCAGCCACTGTCCTCATGATCTCAATCAAAGACCCCTGATTCTTACAAGCCCTGCCTACACTTGCTTTGCAAATAATCGAATTTGTGTACAAAGACAACGTTTCCGTCATGTTGATTGAACTTCCACCCTCAGAAGCACTACTTTTAATACAACTAACAAGATTAGTTATCTCATTCATCATATTGGGATAAAATGACTGAATATTTTTATGACTAAGTAATTCCTGAATACAAATTTTACGCATTTGTCTCCAGAAATCACCGTAGTTACAAAATCCCATATCAGCATGGTCATAAAACATTTCTGTTCCAACCAAAAGCGTTGGCCGATTAGAGAAGATGAGATCATGTTTTCTCATCACTTCTCTAACCATTTGAGGTGATGATACAACAATGGCTTCGCGTTCACCGAGTTTCATGTGCATTAAATCTCCATGTTTTGATGCTAATTTAGCAAGAGTACGATGAGGTAGTAACTCAGATGATTGCCAATCAATAAGATGATGTAAGTTTCCTATCAATGGGAGTTTCCAAGGGCCTGGAGGTAATTTTTTCTTACTATTACACTCTTTATACAATTTAGTAACAAGTAAAGGCAAAACTAGAAGTAGAGCACAAAGAAGAATAGTTAGCTCCATTTGTATTGTGTAGTGAAAAAATAAATCTTAGCTGAAATTGGTTATGTTTAGTGTATATAAAATAAAAAATTGGTCACCCATTTATACAATTGAATTATATCATTGTGTATGAATTAAGTTATTTTTCAATAATTTGAGAGACCCTCATGTTATGCGGCCAGCCTCATGTGGAATTTTGGGCTTCACTAGGGAATTTGATTACTCTAACTCACCGGGGTGGCTGCTATCAAGCAACTTGAGACCAAAACAAAATGGAATTCTCTAGGGAAGGCATGCTAATTATTTGAGTACAAAAACTATATATCAAATTATTGTGTTGGAAATAATGAGTCCAGAGCCTAAAGGGTATAAAATATTAACAAAAATTCAAAATGGTATATAAAATTTTATATTAACCAAAACAGCAAAATCGCTGGAACAGCTACGATTTTCTCTACCGGAAAAAGCAGCAGCGATTTTGCAAAATGTGATTTTAAAAAAAAAAATTCAAATCGATACCTAGGCAGCAATTTTCAATTTTTTTTTTTAAAAAAAGAAAACTCTTTTTTAGAAAATCGCTGCCTAGGCAGCGATTTCTCCCATGGTCTACTCACATTTAGGGGTGGGCATTCGGTATTTTAGTTTGGTTTCGGGGTTTTTTTCGTTTTTCGATTCTTGTACAATATGTACCGAACACCGAACCGAAATAATTCGATTCGGTTCGGTTTTGTTATTTCTATTTTTTTTAATGGGCCTGCTTAGTTGGGCTTTTAAAAATTTACAATTTTTTATTTGTTTCAGCTTAATGGGCTAAAAATAGTTATATCAAAAAGTGTCTTTTACTTTTTAATTTTTAATTTTAAATTATAATATTTAGTATTTAACATTAATAATTAATATAATATAAATATATATTATAATATAATATATTTCGGTAATCAGAAATATCGAATAACACAAAATTACATACCGAAATACCGAAAAATACAAAAATATATACCTAATACCGAACCGAAAACCGAAATACCAAAAAAATTCGATTCAATTCGGTACGATATTTCGATTTTCCGGTGTTTATGCCCAGCCCTACAGTCACATTATGCAGTGGTGAATACCTGAAGAGAAAATTAGATGAGTAACTTCGATGTTGTTCCACGTGTCAGATCCTCCAAAAATGCACAACTAACAATATTTTTAAAGAATCCGAGCAATTTTAAGTGAGGATAGTGAACTTACTTGATTAGCCACTGAAATTCTTCCTCCTCATCAGAACAACCAAAATCAGAGGTCCATGCATGGCCTAATGAGAAATGGAAAATAAATTGTAACAATTCAGAAGCAACAACCAAAATAGTAGCAAAATATAAATTTATATATATAAAAAAAACAAAAAAAAACTTACCTATAGTGAATTTGTGGAATCTAAGCATATCCATAACACCAACATGAGCAAGAGCACAACCAAAGAGATCAGGTCTCTGCAATTATGAATTTAACACTAAATTAGCTGATAGTGACTACGCATGCATCATTGATGATAGAACGAGCACATCTGGTTTCTTGTTTAATCTTGGATCTAGAGCAGTTTCATTCGAAGAAGCAAGAAGTGGTGGTCTTATTAACTTCAGAGGCTTAATATATTGCAACAACTTCTGTACCTTGTCAATCAGTTTGGTTAAGGAGACTTATTGTTGATTTTCATCTGGCGGAACTGAGTCATTTGTGACAATAGATATGTTATTGCGGTGTCGTAGAAGCCAACATTCAACAAAGCACATATATATTCACTTTCACTTTAATCGAAGTCTTTTTTCTGCAGGAGAAATTACTTTGAAGTCTTGTGATACAAATGAGCAAGCAACATACATCTTCACGAAGTCACTTCGGCATGCAAAGCATGATTCTTCAGTGTTCAACTTTGGAGTTTGCAGTTTTGAATCAATGGGGAGTATTGAAAAGTGATTCAAAAGATAGTGGCAGGTTAGTATGTAATTAGTAATTAGTGGTTAGTAGACCTAGATTTTAGTGTTTTCAGTTATTTGGTAAGCCTATTTATAGGTAGGTCTTGTTGTTTTTATTAATTAATCAGATTCAAAGAAGCTTGTAGTAACCTTTTGGAGTTTTTCACTAAAATCATCTCTTAACTATGACTCAAATCTAATATACATCCTTATATTATATAAGTGAGTAAAAACATCCTTATACTATTCAAAAAATAACAAAAATCATCCCTTGGTCTTTTTGTTTTAAGAAACTGATTGAACCAATAAAAATATATTTATTTTTAATTTGGTCATGTCTTAGCCACGACTAGAAGATCAAAATTACCTAAAAGAATAAGATATGGATAGAAAATGAATATTTTATTCTCATATTTTAAATTTTCTGTGTTGTTAGTTTATATGTTTTTGCATCAACAAGTAAATTGACTTGCAACAATGCATAAGTTTTGAAATATTTATATAGTAGGTTCCGATGGTTAGAAAGATTATGTTTAAAATAATCATTTAAAAATATTGCGTGCAATTATTTAGAGATTTTCTTTAATAAAAATACATATATAGTATGTATATACTATATATACAATGTAATTTACATTTTATACAATATACATAAATACTGAAAATTTAGTGAAATCATGTAGGCATTTTGTTGTGAAAATTAAATAATAATTACTTTATTTGAAATTTTTGAAGTTGGAATTGAAATTGGACATATTTTTTACAAAGAATATTTAGAATTTAAATATATTTTGTCTCAATATGATTTAAACCTTCGATTTCTTAAAAATAAAAAATCAACCAACTTGACTAGCTTAACCATGTGTACATATATTCATTCGACGTGATATATTTTTATGTTGGTGGCGTGAGTTTTTTAAAAACATAGATAGAAAGATGTATCATGCAACTTTGGAGATAGTGCAAAGATGTTTTTTGTTCACTTATATAACACAAAATTTAGGTTTAGATCATACTTTTGGGATGATTTCAGCCAAAACTCTTAACTTTTTGTCTCTTTTGCTTTCATTCTGTTAATTTTTTCTTTTGATTATATTTCTCTTCTTTGAAGGTAAAATCAGTTAAAGTTACAATTATGAGTTGAATGTGGAAAAAGCGTCACCCCGAACGGGTCAGGCATAGCGACATTCGAATTTAGTGGGAGCTTCCAGACACCAGATGAGAAACAAAAAAAAAAGATATGTCAAAATTTATGAATTGGCTTGGAAAGAAGTAATGATTTTAGTGGAAGAGGTTACGCATGAGCCTACTGAAGAAAACCTTGAAATGCACAGATTATAAAGCATCATGAGATGGTTGAAGCTTTCATAGTGAATAATGATGGGACAAATGGAAAAATTAAGGCATGTTGACATTAAAGAATGTTGAATGCGTTGAATCGGACCCGTTACAACAGAAAGAACGGGGGTCTCGCTTAGCACTATATATAGACGCTATGGCAAACCCTATTCTGTATTTTGTTCTTGTCTCTCCGTAATAAAACTGCTCCCCCTCTTCTCAGTGGACGTAGCCAATTTACTGGTGAACCATGTAAATCTGTTGTCTTGTTTTTCGCGTATTATCTCGAATTCCCCATAACAAAGAATATTGTTAGATTTCCAATTCAAGGTTAAGTTGTTGAAAGTCATGAGGTGTTTAGGTATCTCAAGGTGTTATAAAATGGTCTGACAAGCTGGAGGATAGCTTTGCAGATATTCCAACACTGAAACAGATTAAGTTAATTAGGTGCGAGAACAAATCTCTGGATGCTTCAGCCGTGAGGTTTAAGCAAGAAGTCGAAGAGAATGAAGAAAACAACCGTATAGACCACATCACTATCTAAGTAGGTAGAAACAATCTCCTTTGTGCTGATTTTTGAGTATCTAACAATATTCTTTCAAACTCTTCAAAAATGTTGTCCCTTCTGTGTTGGATTTCACATAGTGCATTTTTGGAACATCTGACACACGTGGAACAATATATTGTAGCTATTGAAATATCCTCTCTTTTTTTTTTCACTACTGCCCTGCCATATTGTCCTTTTTCTTTTTCATTTGATTAACAGAAAAACATAACACATGTTCACTCTTGGTGAAATGAAGTGAAAGATTCTTTATTTGACTATCTTGATCGTGAGTCCGAAGATTATAGTTGGGTTTACTATGCAGTGGAGTTTTGATAACTTAGCGGATTGTTTAAAGCCTTGTCTTCTTTATATGGGGATGTTTCCGGAGGATGCAAGAATTCCTGTTTCTAAATTGATGAGTTTATGGATTAGCGGAAGACTTTGTGGAGAACATTGAATCTGCTGAAGATGGATCTCATTAGCAGTAATGTGGTTATGGTTTCAAAGAAAGAATATAATGGTAAGGTCAAATATTGTCAGGTTCATGACCTAGTGCTTCCTTTTTGCTTGGAGAAGAGTAGAGAAGAACGGTTTATATCGGCAGTGAAGGGGCGTTGTAGCCAGCTTCAACCTTTTGAATGGAAGGAAAGTCGAGTGAGCTACTAACTGAGACTCATATAGAAAACCTGACTTCCTTCCTTGACGGACTACTAAGCCTGGAGTATCTCCAATTACGCGATTGTGTTCAAATCAGAGATTGGTGCCTTGGAGATGTCACGTTCCATAAACTTAAGTTGTTGAAACTGCCGTTTTTAAGTATCTCAAGCTGGAATGTCTCGGAGGAATCCTTTCCCCTGCTTGAAATACTTGTTATAAGCGGGTGTCACAACCTCGAGGAGATCCCCTTAGCTTTGCAGATATTCCAAGTTGAAGGATGCGATCGTATTGTTATCACTACCCAAGTAAGTAGAAACAAATTAAACTCCTAACTAAATTCTGTTTTTCAGTATCTAATGTGCAAGCTATATGTACAATACAGGATTATGGAGGAAAGAATATAAGGCGGCTATGAATCAAGTATGTGCTTGTCAACAATTGATGCTTGCTTTCGTTTAATTGAGCACGAGGATTTGTTCAAATTTGAAAACTGCAGCAAAAGCACAGACACTCTATTGCATCCTCTTATATTGTAATGCTAATACCCATTGCT